AGGCAGATGTGGTGGGAGGCAGGGACAAGGCGGGGCTCTGTCCCCTCCAGCCCCGGCGGCTCTGCAGTGGTGCAGGGAAGCAGGGTGACAGGATGATGCCTGACACCTTGTGCCGCTCGGTGCAGAGGGTGCTGAGTAGGTAACCAGCCTTGTCCTTACCACAGGATCAGTGCCAGAGCTTCGGTGCAAAGTCCCACCTCGCCTCTATCCACAATCCGGAGGAGCAGAGAGTCATTGCCAACCTCATTGCCCGTGCTCATGGCTATGACGATGAAGTCTGGATTGGACTCCACATTGCTGGACGGGTGAGTGTGCACCGCGCTCTCCCAGACCCCACATCTGTGCTCATCGCTGTCCAGGGGTTTCATAATTTCATAGTTTCTAGGGTCAGAAGGGACCTAAACAGATCATCAAGTCTGACCCTCTGCCCTGGGCAGGGACAAGTGCTGGGATCATAACACCCCAGCCAGATATCTATGCAACCTCCTCTTGAAGACCCCCAAGGGAGGGGAGAGCACCACCTGCCTTGGGAGCCCATTGCAGAGCCTGGCAGCCCTAACCGAAAAGTAATGCCTCTTGATATCAAGCTTGAACCTGCTCTCAGTCAATCTGTGAGCCTCACTTATTTTCCGCTGGTCCCCCCTGGTGAGTTTATAGATGGCCCCCAGATCCCCTCTCAGTCTTCTCTTGTGGAGGCTGAACAGGTTCAGGTCCTTTAGCCTCTCCTCATAGGGCCTGCCCTGCTGCCCCAGATCATGCAGGTGGCCTCCTCTGGACCCTCTCCATGCTGTCCACATCCCTCCTGACGTGCGGCACCCAGACCTGGACGCAGTACTCCAACTGTGGCCTGACCAAGGATGCATAGAAGGCAAGGGTCACCTCCCAGGACCTGCTTGTGATGCATCTGTAGATGCACGACAAGGTGCAGTTAACCTTCCTGACAACTTCCTTGCATTGGCAGCTCATGTCCATCCTGGAGTGAACAATGACTCCAAGATCCCTTTCAGCCACCAGGTTGGTGAGACGGGTGTTCCCCAGCATATAGGGGTGTTGCTGGTTCCTTACCCCTAGATGCAGCACCTTGCACTTGTCTGCACTGAACTCCATCCTATTCTCATCCGCCACCTCTGTGACCTGTCTAGATCTAGCTGGGTTCTGTCCCTTCCCTCCACCATGCCCACCTCGCCCCACATCCTCGTGTCATCAGCTAATTTGGACAGTGTGCTTTCCACACCCACCTCCTAGTCGCCGATGAAGATGTTGAACACTGCAGGCCCAAGGACCGAGCCCTGGGGGACTCCACTGCCCACATCCCTCCAGGTCAAAAATGACCCGTCCACCACCACTCTCTGGGTGTGACCCTTCAGCCAATTGGTGACCCATCTGAGTGTGTAGGCACTAATGTAGCAGTTGCCTAGTTTTTAAAATGAGTTTAGAGTGAGACACAATGTCAAAGGCCTTTTTGAAGTCCAGGTAGACAACATCCACCTCAGCGCCCACATCCAGGGACTTGGTGACCTGGTAAAATGAAACCAGGTTAATCAGGCAGGACTTGCCCTCAGTGAACCCGTGCTGGTTGCCCCCAAGCATTGCCTCCCGTGGGCGTCGTGTGCCTTGATCCTGTCCGTAATCGCATGGCATCATGTCCTCTGAGCCTGTCTGTAATCCTAGTGGGGGAGTTGTCCCAGTCCCTGCTCAGAAATATGGAGGCAAAGAACTTGTTGAAGAGATCAGCTTCTTCCTTTGCTGCAAGCACCAGATTGCCAAGCCTGTTCTGTAGGGGCCCCACGTTACCTGCTGCCTTCTTCTTGCTCCCTATATATTTGAAAAAGGACTTTTTGTTATCCTTAATTCTAGTTGCCATCCCTAGTTCTGTCTCTGCCTTGGCCTTCCTAACCACCTCCCTGCAATCACGACCAATGGAGGTGTAATCCTCTTCGACTGATTGTATGTCACCTTTTTTGCCCTCAGGCCCTCCTGGATGCCTTTACTGAGCCAAGGGGGCTTTTTAGCACTCTCGCCCACTTTGTTTCACATTGGGACTGACTCCTTCTGAGCTCGGAGGATCATCTCCTTAAGGAACAACCACCCATCCTGGATTCCCATCTCACTGAGGCTCTGAGTCCCCAATGTCTCTCTGACTGATCTCCTTAACTCATTGAAGTCGGCCCTCCCGAAGTCAAGGACTTTTGCCTTGCTGCCTGCTTTCACCACCCTGCACCGGACAGTAAATTCCAGCAGACGATGGTCACTAATGCCTAGGAAGTCAAGCACCCGCAGACCCCTCACCAGGTCATCGCCTGTGGCAAGGAGCACGTGCAGCAAGGCATTTCCTCCGGTGGGACTGTGCTCCTCCTGGGTTAGATGGAGGTCATGTATGCAGGCTAGGAACCTACATTAGTGGTCAGACCTGGCTGACTGATCCTCCCAGCAGATGTCTGGGTAGTTTAGGTCACCCATGAGAAGCACAGCCTGGCTCAGTTCCCCCGTGTGCTCACCAGTCTGGTACAAGTGGACCCACACGCTGCCTCCTGCACGTCCTTCTGATGCCTGGTGACGGGCACTCATTCAGCAGGGCCCCTCTCTGTGCCCTGTGCTGACCCCAGCTCTGATGGGAAATCCTCCCACCCAGTCCAGCCTGCCCCTGCCCTTTAATGCCTGTTGCTCTATGCAGCTGGGCCACTGGCTATGAGTCAGTGGCCCAGAGCACAGGTCTCATAGCTCTTGGTCGGGTCCATAGGGAGGCGTGGAGCCCTAGTCTGCACATGACACACGTCTCTGTTCTCCTCTTCCTTCGTCTGCAGAGCGACAACTGGGCGTGGGTCGATGGCTCCCCCACCATCCACGAGGCCTGGCACAAGTACAGGAGACGTTACTCTTGGAAGGGGGAGAACTGCGTAGCCCTGGAAGACGACTCAGGTGAGCAGGAGGCTGAGAGCCAGGTGCCCGGATGATGGAGGCAGCCAGCGCTCCTGCAACCCTGCCCCTGAGCTGGTCCCAGTGCTGCGGGGCAGCCCCTGCCCTGCTCCCCTCTGGGTCTGTGGGGGCTGGTGTTCAAGTCCCAGGGCAGGAGCATGGTGCCCAGTTACAGCAGCTGGCACCACTAGCTCCCACAGGCAGGGTCATCCCCTCTGACTGGGAGCTGATCCTGCCGGCCTCAGGATGGGAGATGGGCCAAGCAGGCCCTGAAAAGCAGGAGGCTGAGGGATGCCTGGGAAGCATCTGTCTGGGACGAGGGGCCATCTCCATCCAAGCTGTCCTGGTGGCTCTTCCCATTCTCTTCCTCAGCCCCAGGAGAGCAGTGGGATCTCCCAAGGGTCATGGACTGGGAGAGGGAGTGGGCTTCATGGGGGCAGGGATGGCCCAGCCTGCCCCAACCCAGGGATCCCTCCTGCTTTTCCTCCTAGGTTACATGACCTGGGACAAAGACTCCTGCTATGACAGAAACGCCTTCGTCTGCAAGCTCACGCTGTAGCGAAGCAACTTGCCCCTGCTCAGGACGGCTGGGAGTGGGCACGCTGGGGCCTTCTGCTCCTCAAAGGGGCTGTATCCGCTGTCTCCAGCTGCCGTGTCCCTTCTCCCAGTGCATCCTCTTGTGAACTCCTGAATCCATCACCTTCTCCTCTGCCCCTTCTCTGCGTGGTGGGTGACTCCCTCTCTCTCTGTTTCCCCCTCATCTGTGCACTCTGCAGTGATAATAAACTTTTCCTTGAGCATTCAGAAACATGTGCATCTTTGCCTGAGTCCTGTCTCTTCCATGAAAAGCACCATATGTGCTCCTGGCCATGCCGGATCACCCTCATCCAGCCCCTTTGGATAGAAGGTAGTGACCACGCCTGGAGTGCAGGCATCTTGGTTATCGTACAGGGCACTGCTTCCATCCAGCTCTGTGCATCAGTCCTGAGCCACTGTACATCTGTGCCTCTGTGCCATCATCTCCTGTTCCCTCTCACCTCAGCCCTGTGTGCCCCAAGGAGAGACCCCTCAGACCATGGGCGATGGGCCATACACATCTTATATGGCAGAAGTATGCAACCCAGGTACACCCAAGGGTGTGCCCTATTCTCAGCTGGATGGGATGGGTAGGCAGGAGGGGTGCTGTGAGAGGGATGCCAGAATTTCAAGTGGCTTCCTCTTTCCTCTACAGAGTTCGCCCAGGCCCAAACTTCTTAACTGTATTCAATTTACTGAGTTACCAACATTTATATATAAGCTTCTTTAAGATAGATATAATTACAGATATAGATACAAATATTCATAGAAAGGTCTGTTAGAGAGAGGACATCTTCCCTAGGGAGGGCATTTGGGTAAGTCCCCGTGCCCCAGGCCCAGAAGAGGGGTGGATCCCAGGACAGTCAATTCAGCAAGTTTATACCACAGGTGGGTTAGGTAATAAAGACAGTCTTACAGAGCCCATCATATAGCATCAATACACCCAACTATTGATAACAACAACAATAGCAATAGATACCGAACAGGAAACATAACTATACCAGTTATTACATGCACCAACCGCTTGTCCCTCAAATGGGATAGGGTCTTCTCCCCTAGGCCCCCCGGGGGGTCACACAACCCTCTCAGGTGTATATTTGGGTTTTCCTCCCCTCTGACCCCAGAAAGTGGAGGGTGTGTGGGGCCTTGCCCCCGCCCCCTCCCCGCAAGGTCCCGTGCCCGGGGGCACCTCCCATGCTGGACTTGGGTTCCCAGTAACTCATAGTCCTTCCTCTGTGTCCTCTGGGTTTCTCCCCTAGGCCCCCCGGGGGGTCACACAACCCTCTCAGGTGTATATTTGGGTTTTCCTCCCCTCTGACCCCAGAAAGTGGAGGGTGTGTGGGGCCTTGCCCCCGCCCCCTCCCCGCAAGGTCCCGTGCCCGGGGGCACCTCCCATGCTGGACTTGGGTTCCCAGTAACTCATAGTCCTTCCTCTGTGTCCTCTGGGTCCCACACCGTCTCAGGCCTCCTGGAGCCATTGGCCTCGAGTTGAGGGTCCTTCCCTCTGGGCCCTGGGCCCCATGCTGGGCACCCAGCGAGCTCCTATGGGAGCCGAGCCCTCACTGGCTCTGATTCCCAGCCTCATGCCAGGGGATCTTCCCCTTCCTGGGCCCTGCTCTGGGCACTGGGGCTCTTTTAGTTTAATGTGGAGCCACACTGCAGTGCTCCAGTGTTGCCCCATGGGGTCAGGCCAGCTTTCAGGATCTCAATATTGTACTGTTAGACGGGAGGGTGTGACACAATTGCACATATACAAACACACACGTCAATTGGGTGCACGCGCGCACACACACACACACACACACACACACACACACACTACCAATTCAGGCACATCGAAATCAGCCTAGGCACATGCATACCTATCACCAATTCAAGCAGATACTCTATACACCCCAAAAGTTAGACAAAAATCAATTGTCACACTCAGTGCACATACACAAATGACTAATTTGTATATCATGTGTGGCAGAAAGCCACCTTTGTTTCTC